TCATAAAAATGCTTTCTTAGCCACTGCTGGTAAGATTCTGCCCACACAGAAAACGGCTGGAACTACCTTGATTATACCATACCACTGAGACATTTAAGATACTTGTAGCACCAGCAGTCAGTCAGCCATTTATCCTGACAGCTCTGGCACCAGCTGCTCCAAGAGGAATGGTGATCAAATGCTACATTAAAGGCCTGCCCATAGCCATTTAGTGGAAAGGAGAGACTAGAGCACTGCTGCCACTCCAAACTGCAGGGAAATGTTAGTTTAGCGTTTCCTGCAGACTCCTGCTTTACATTCCTTCCTCCCAAACTATCTACAGCAGAGCATCAGCCACACACTGATTGAGAGAAAAACCCATAGTCCTGATCCCAGCCCAGTCCTCCACAGCACAAAACTTTAAGACAACCGCAAATAATTCAATGGCAATGTCAATTAAAATACAGCAGCGTCATTAGTGCTCTCTACTGGATAAAGACATAATTACTCCAAAATTAATATAGCACATCAGGGATCTCAGTAACTAAATGTTGTAAAACCATTCCTTTTAAATTATAATACATGGAATATATTTATAAAATTTTGTGCTGCTCAAAGCAAGTTAAAACCTTACATCAGGATGCAACAGAAGATGTACAGAAGTCCTTGAAAACGAAACACAGCTACAGTTACAACTCTGATATCTGAATTAGGTCAATAAGAGAAAAAAAACAAGCAAGACTGTACAAGAATACTTGAGTCAGCGTAGTCTTAATCAGAAATATTCCTTCCCATTCATTACATCCTATATCTACATGCACAGATTAATTTAGAGCTGACAACTGTGAAATTCAATTTCAGAAATTCCTCTGCCCTCAAAAGCAGTAATGGAAGTCACAAAACAATTTGCTTCATCACTTTTCATACCCTGTTAATACAGGGCAAGCTTCTACTTGGTAATCAGACACTAAGTGGTGTCACTTAGTTCAGACTTCCAGATGAACAAAACCAAGTCAACATTTCTGTTACCTCTCGCCATCACCAGTGGTCCATGGCTCCATCTGAAGGAACAGAGCCATAATTTGCCATTCCCTCCAGCCAACACCAAACTGCCAAGCCCCACCACCAGCAGAACAGTTGTGCTGTCCTGTAGTTCAACATTATTCAGAGCCAAACATAAAATAGCTAATTTGGCACTGAATCGTTGATGGTTCAAGCACCTGCAACCACAAGCCTTTGCATAAAAATGAGCAGTGATTGGCCTTTGTGAGAACCTCTTAACAATGCAATTCCCTAAAAATACCTGGAGCAAACCTTACCACTCTACTACCTCCCTTCTAACGGTGGGCACACAGATTTCTTAGCAGCAGTTCTTAAAAGTGTTGAAGGCACAGGTAACTCTTTTCTGTAACAGCTACTTGCCTGAATTTTTAAATGCAAAACAGAGACTTTACAGGAAGTCACCTCAGGTTTTGTAGACATAACAAAATTTTAAGTTTCTTAATTCCATTTCTATTATCCCAGGTTTGATACATTTAGGGATGATGTTTATCACAGTAACATTTAAAAGCAATCCAAGGGAGAAACGGTATTATGTACAGCCATGTGCTACAAAGTACATAAATGAGAGTGGATGTGAAAAGGGAAAATACCACAACACTGCTGAAGCCGTAGAAGGAAACATTTCTTAGGTATCGTGATTTGCACCAGATTTCTTTAGGGGAGAATAAGAAAAAGGAAGTTGCCAGATGGACAGGGCAGAACTGGTGAAAACCACTACTGAGGACAGAGCTGCTGAGAAAACTGTTCAAAATACAGTTTTCCCTGCTTAGTGATACTGCAGTTTCTCTTATCCAGTGAGCCTCTGGCTGCATCCCCTTAGTCTTCTGTGAGGCACTTGAAGGTAAAGAGAATAATTTTTTCTGGGTCCTAGTGATATCCTGAAGGATAACATCCTAAAAAAATCTGGGGTGAAGGAGGTTTCAGGGACAGAGCTATCTACAACCTAAAGATACCTATTACATCAAATGAGACTAATTGTTGTTACACACACTCACACCTCTTTAAATGAGAAACTGTGCAGGATCCTTTAAAAAAAATAGGGAGAATATACAAGGCAGAAAATTATTTGGAGAAAATTAAATAGCTGTTTCCAAAGGAGATTAAGTTAAAAAGACAACCCTCAAAATATTTTCTTTGGTCCAAAAATTTGCTTAATTACAATGCAGAGAGATAGGAGGCTGGGCATTAGTTTAGCTCAAATAATAATGAAAATAGAAATAGGTCCCAATTACCTTGACCAAATGATTGCTATACTTTTTCCCACACAGTTTTTCCTCATGTATACGTGACATATGAAGTTGGTATTATTTTGCTTAAACATCTTCTCTTTGGTCCCAAAAAGAGTAGGAAATCCACAGCTTTGCATACCCACATGCTCTGAAGTTCTTGCTCACATTTCTTTCCAGCTTCTCCCTCTTTTTCAAAACCCTCCAGTCATTTTCCTTTCATCAAATCCTCTCCAAATCCGAGCATTTGTGCCTGTTCCCAGAATGTGGAATGTGAGTGAGCTGCTACCCTCTCTACAGTTCTTCCTGGGTTCTATCACTCAGCAAATCCTGATCGCTAAAGGGGACCAAGAGAGATGGAGATGAGCTGACTTGAGGTCAAAAGTCAAGTAAGCAGCTACAAACCTTGCTCACTCAAAAGTGTCTCCTAACTCGTGGCTTACACTATACAGTCACAGCTGGAGAAATACGGACCACAGACTACAAAACTCCGTATCAGATTTGCTCCCAGGAAAATGAGAAGTTGCAGAAATACTGTTCCTCCATACCCACAATGAAAGGAAATGGCCTTCATCTATGACTACACTTTGGCCTGTGGTCTGGGAGCAGAGGGTGCACTTCAGACCTGACAGCATTTTAGTTTTTCCATACACGCCTTCCACTGGAACATACCCTGTGGGAGCAGCACGAGCCTTGTAGGCTGCCGTGCAAGATCACACTGACACTGCCCAGGATCCCATTCCAGGAACTGATCCCTTTTCCGTGGAAACTTTTGTAACTGCTTTTAAAAAAAGAGATTAAGTCCTTGAAGCCTGTTTGCTTTCTATTCCATATCCTCAGGCTCATATTGCTTATTATTCCTACATGTCTTTATTCACATCAATCCCCAAATGGAAAACACAGCAGACAAATTCAAATGATGGAATCATCCACCTAGTTACTCGTTTATACTGCAGCCCCTTCCCCAAGGAATTCTGCATAGTTGCTTTTTTCGTAGTCTTAGCAGTAGGAAACACCTCTTGCAGCCATGGAATTTTGAAGCACAGCACAAAACTAGCAGCTTCTATTGGAACCAAAGCATTTATTTTAAAAGAAAAATAATTACGATTAGGTCTTTTATAACATTAAATAAAGCTTGATCTGTCCTTTCCCTTGGCAGTTAGCAGATTCACGTTACTTAATCAAAGAAAAACTGAAAGTTCAGGTCAAGAATAATTCTTCAATTAGCCTGGATAGGACTTGGATGAAAGGGAGGTTCCCACGATTTTTATCCTCACAGGCAGTACCAAACTTAATCCCAAGACCACATAAAGGCAGCTGTTTCTAATGCCAGAGGGAGGTGTGGGCAGCCAACCAGAGGAGACTCAACTTCAAACTACATATTCTGAGGGCAACCCAAACCTTTCCCTTCCCTCTCACACAATTCACCACCCAGCAGTAATTCACAGATTATTAACTGGCCTGTTAATTGTTTGAGTTTCCTAGGTACTCTTGTAGTCAAGAAAAACAACCAAACCCAAAAGCCTTCTTCCAACTTCTAGTCTGGGGAAACTTGAGGAAAAATACAGAGAAGTTGAAACGAGACTTGGAGGACCTTGTCTTTACTTACAGGCAGCCTGAATCCTTCTGTGCCATAACTTCCCTGTTCACTGAGAGCGGCTGCATTTTAACCAACAGCGATGGTCTTAACTATTTCAATGAGTTGGAGGTCATTTCATCTTCTTTGAAGATTTAAGTATCACTAATTGAGAAGACAACTCAAACGAAACATTGTCATGTGACTACAACTTAAATGCACAGGAAATTCAGCAACTTCATTCTCCAGATCTAACTGGTCCATTAAGAATTCTCAGCTCTGACTCATTTTCCATGTTTTTGTGTGAGAACCTTCAAGCTGAGGTTTACAGATAAAATATACAATTTCAAAAAGCTTCCACCCCCCTTATATTTTACTAAAACATCCATCTTTCATCTCAAGTCAAACACATGAAAACTTAGGTATTTTCAGAAACCTTCCAAGGCAATTAAAAATATATATTTTGACTTTTTTATGCAGCCCAACACACGTACAGTAAAACTCTCATTTGCCCTACTGATTTTTAAAAACTAGTATGAAATACTATTAAAAATTTAAGCCAGTTTGTGAGATTTAAGAACAGGCATACTGCAAAAATTATTTCAACTGTAGTTCAGTAAAATAAACACCACCAAAGATACAGCAAGAACATTGAATAACTTTAGGAATCTGAGCACTAAATATTGCAATTTTTTAGAGAACATTTGAGAAAGGGCAAGTTGGTTGAAAAACAGTACTAACCTTTAAAGCCAAGTACTAACACATCCCTGTGTTTGGCAAGGGATATGCCCCCCCCTTCAGAACTAGAATGGCTTTGCATCTCTGCAAACCACTTAAGACTGACAGCTCTTTTCTTGTCATTTAATGCACACAGTAGGAAACAGTTCACAGCACTTAATTTCGTAAGAACTCTGAATAAATAGGGATCCAAAACATGATCACGCAGCATAAAGTTAATGACAACAGTCTGTATTCGTGGAGTAAAAGAAACCATAATAATAAACAGGTCAGTTTTGATACCTGTTCCCATCAAGTTCAAACTCTTTTCAAGGCTATACCCTAGAGAAGTGGTCTCCAAAGTCAGGTGCAGGCACCCCAAGACAATCCATTTGGGTGTAAGAAGCTTTTTTTGTACAATTAACAAACAAAATGTTAAATAATTTAAAAATAGTCTTTATTTCATTTTCCTCTCATACTTTTTCAATTTCTACTCTTGGGTATGTACATAATATATTAGAACAGTGGTACACACATAAATTAAGAATAAATATACATACACTGGCTGCACACTTAGAAGTTTTTATTGATAGGGGTGTGCAATCAGAAAAATTTTGGAGACCACTGGCCTCAAGGATGCTGATATTGCAGCTGCTTGCACAATCACATATCCTGTTGCTGAATTAATTTTTTAATATCAATCTGAAATACTCTCCTCAGGACCATATTTTCAATATGCCTATTGAGATATTTTTCCTTCAAAATATCACAGCTATAAGGACGCAATGGAAATTTTGGAAAGATCAGGCTTGGAGAACACAAAGCACTGTCGAAAAAGTATCCTTTGGTGGAATCACACTGAAGTTACAATCGTACAGCAGTGAAGTTACCATTAAAACATATGCAGCTTCTACATGAGACTGGAGCCACCCTGTCACTTGTGCAGTTTGGTAGTCACATTTCAGTTCAGTGCCAGCTCCTCCTCACCCCTAAACCCCCTTCCCACACACCGACGCCGTGAGCACCCACACACCCACCACCACTGGCTGCCTGGCAGAGGTGCTGCTCTGCCAGCACTGCTTGGGGTCCCCACATCACCCACCCTGGGCCTGGAGGTGCCACTGAGGAGCTTGGGGACTGTGCCCCTCTTGAGCTGGCACCCGAGCAGTGGCTGTTCGGGCTCCCCTCGAGGCCTTTGCTGCACACAGATGCTGAGGCAGCACTCCAGCACCTCCGGCCACCCACAGATGCAGATGATGGTGCAGGTCTCCCATGGCCACCCAGCAGGGCACGGTTCACAGGCAGCAGCTGTTCTTCCCAGTTGGTGCCTGGGGAAGCCAGCCAGCAAGTATCCCAGCATTTCAGTGTGTGTGGTAGCATGCTGTTCACCAAGGTGGCGTTTTATTAACATTGAAGGTTGTGCATTTTGACATATTCCAGCACTTTTACAACTGATTCCTAAAAATATTACCTTCAAAAAAAGAAACAAGAAAAGTGTATCCTGAATCCACATTCCTGTCTAGAATCCAGCACACTTATAAAAAAAAACCCCAAATCCTTCTGTTTTAAATAAGAAAGCAGCATATTATATTTAAAAATGTTAATCTCTGCTTTACTCTGGCTAGTTTTGTTTGCCCTCCCTTTGATCTGGATGCTTTCATTCAAGCAGAAGCAAGACTCACAGTGAATGGGGGGATGCGTGTGCACTTAAAACACATAAAAAGCGTGTGTAGTAAGCCAGTGCCACACTACACATCACAGCTGGAGCTCAACTCCCAGGCCAAGTCTCCAAAACCCACCTGGTAAAACAGGGATACTCACTTGCTCCCAAGTCCACACAGAACAAACAGTGTTGGACACAACGCAAACAGCATCACACAATTTTCAGTTCTCAGCTGTTCAATCTGACCCAACACCTCTGTGATTTAAGAGCATACTACTCATAGCTAGGAATTCAGATTTAGGTAGGCCTATGATGGTTTGAACATGAAAGCCTTGAAGGCTGTCTATTTTGATCTCGTTCACACCACAGATCATTTGCTCACCCTTGGAAAAAGTCCAGTAATTTACATTTGATTACAGCCTACTGAAGATACCAAGGGGTACAACCCATTACATCTCATTGTAGATTGTTAACCAGGGAATCAGCCTTGTGTTAGAAACTGAGCACATTTCTTTGGATCACAAACATTCCTAGATTCCACCTGCCGTGACTTGATAACTTTTATGCCTCATTCCCGTAAATCAGACACCAACACTACCCAGAACTGAGCAGTCAACCTTTGTTGTTGTTATGTCACAGTTTGGTATTCCCTTCATTTACACTTTAATCTCTGAGCTTTAAAAAGAAAACTGGCAATGTGTCAAGACAGGAAGCACAATAGAAGAGCAAAACTCTAGGAAGGGACTAGAAGGGACCTCTGGTTTATCAGGTCTAGTTGCCTTCTACTCAGACATCACTTTGCATTTCATTTCTTTCATAGATACACTTGGCTCTTCCTTCAAAGCAGGTCTCTGCCCAGAAGGTTGTTCCAGAATTAGTTCTAGTAATTAGGAATTTTGTTTTTAATCTAAATCTTATTTACAGAAAGTTTATAGCTACTTGCTTTTGTTCTAACACTCTTCTAGCTCATAGCTTCTGTCCTTTGCCTGTCACTAAAAAAGTAGTACTCTGATCCCATAAACAACCACACTGCTACAGATTAAAAAAAATAAATTGGGGCTTACCCATGAAATTAAACTTCCAGGCATGCAGAAGATAAAATATTTAACTTTCAGAGAAGAGAACAAGGGAAGAAAACACAGGAGGGAAAAAAGCTAGTCAGAAGGTGTGATTTGTTTAGCTATCCAAAGAAGCCTTCTCTCCTCATCCTGGAAAAATGGGCTTGTAGTTATTGTCGTCACTGGCTGCAGAGGTGACATGCACAGCAATCCACTGTAACGCTCCACATGAAAAAACTGTACAAAGTGAACTGCACAGAAGAAAGTCAATACAACTCCAGTGACCATTAAAACAAAGACGAAATCACAATTTGTCTTGTTAAAAGGAAATATGATTTTAAAAGACATACCACCTTTGAGTTTGGTACAAACATGTACCTTTCATGACAGGAAACAACAAAAAAACCCCTAAGCTTCAGAAACAGTCTTATGTATTTCATATCTTTCTATGGATTCAATTTAGAAAACAAATTAGGAATGGGGCCAAAAAGGTCAATAAACAAACCATCCAGCATTCATTCACAGGCAACAGAAATCGAAGTACCATATGTACATTGTTCTCTCATATTATGTCCAGAAGATAGAGGCATGCAACACCATTACTGTCAACAATGAAAAAGGGTGTACATTTCAGAGCATGAAATACTTCTCCACTTCCACCAAGTTTATTGAAACCTTCCAAGTTAGGTCTGACTAATCAGCCAGTACGACGGCTGTCAGGTCAGCAAACAGACTTAGAAGTAGATATTCTGAGTTTTAGGATCTACTTGTAAAACCCCAAGTAACTCCATCAACAAAAGTCAACAAGGGGAAAGAAAGAAGTTGTTTTCAGTTTGAGACACCCATCATTTTGTACCTAAACAGATCCAACCTGATTGACATTACTCTCATATAAATTTTCCATATTTAACATCTAATTTAGGACAGGCAAACAAGGGTGTAGAAAGCCTTCTAAGAGCTCATGAAATAAATATAGTACAACAGGTATACAAACTCATTCTGCATGTTATTTTTAGGTAGGCTACATAATTTATATTTTTACTGTGAGAACATAAAAACAAAACTGACCTTTACAAAATCATGATTTCATATAGAGTAAAACCACTTGCCCCTGCTTCTACTTCATAGTGTTTTAAAATGAATAGTAAATTGAAAGAGAGACAAAATACTCTCATTGTAATGCAAACAGTAGTCAACTTTTTAGTGTGTCCTCACAATCTGGGAGAGGAAAGCCAAATTAACCTGTCATATAAAACATTTTAGAACCAGAGTTAACTGGCAGAGGAGCCTAAAAGGCAATAAAAAACCCTCTCAGACTGAAAGAATTTCAAGGCAAAGTGAGCTTTCAAGAAAACCTCGTCCAAGTACAACAAAATGAAAACGTTCCTCATGCTGGACTCAAAACATTCTACATTTCCACAGTTGAACCCCTGGTTCAGAGACCTACAACTGAGATAGCAACGAAAAGCGTAGGTCAAAGCCAAGATATCACAAACCGTCACAACAAAGCTTGGAAAGTATTAAAAAAATCAAAGTGAGCTGCTCTGGCTTTGTTGAGCAGTAACATATGAACCTACAGTAGAGTAAATAGCATAGTTTTAGTGATAATATAAAAATAGCTTGCAAGCTAAGTTACCTTTCAGACTAAACTCCATATTTTTAGAATCATATGAACAAGATTTCAGTTTCCCAACTTACTTTATGCTTTTTAAAGCATTTCCTAAGAAATTTATTTTTATATAGTTAAGCTAAAACCTGCCAGGTCTGCATGCTTTTTAAGGACATACCTTCTCACCTAGTAGAATATAAAAAACACAGCAAAACAGTGCAGAATTTTGTAAAAATACTTTAAAGAAATTTACACTTCACTCTAAGATTATTCAAGTTAAGAATTAATCACCAGGTTTGACAGTGTAACTCCTTTGCTTCTGTTATCCTCATTGCACATAAAAAACAAAGTTGTTATTTCTGCCAAGACTTAAAAAAGTGGATCCTCCATCTCTGCTGGTCTAATGAGCAAGCAAACACTGCTCCATAGGCAGAATCATTTTGGGGCTTCTGCAGATAGGAAAAAAAAAATCCTGAACTCACCAGAAACTTCTCACTACAAGCAAAACCTGAAGGCAAGACTTCAAAGGACTCTTAGAAGCACAGCTCCTCAGCAAAGATCAATACAGGCAGCCTTTCTGCAACTTCACAAACACTGCTTTGTATTTATGACCAGTTTTTTCTTAGTAGTGCAGGCCATAAAAGTTAGAGATCACTAGGTATGCAATTTTTTTTTTAAATCAAAAAATAAAGGGCAACACTTAATGCATTTCAAACTACCAGATTTTTACTTCCGAAAACTTAAAAGCTTTCTATAAATGTCTTGATTTCTAATACTGACAAAAAATAATTGACTAGTAACACACTTTTCTCATTTTCTGCAGCCTCAGAAAGTTTGTTTTAAGTTACAGTACTGCAAGGCACATACAGAATCTCTTCCTTTCCAACACACAGCAGATATATTCCCTGAAATAATTTTAAAATCTTCAAAACAATTAAAAATGCTACAAAGTCAACAGTTTCTATTTAAAAACATTGTTCCTACACAACATGCACTTTTTTGGATAACAACTTAGCAAATATGTATAAATTATTTTATCTTACTTTCATTTACACTGGAAATAGACTGAATAATTTTTAACCTGGAAAGTACTGTATCATGTCACATTAAAGTTATTGCCTTCATTATAAATTGCATCATCTCTGAAAATCCACAAAGCTGGGGGTGAGAGACTACATGACGCAGTTTAGCCCATGTGAAAATGGGTTTCCACATAAAGCAATACCATCAGAGTAAAAAATGAACTTTCTTCATTCAGTGGATGAGGACAAGAGAAACTGATGTAAGTGCATTTGTTCAGTTTAATGCAATGTCATTAGCAACTACTTAAAAAATCTTAATTTTCTCTCTTTTGGGCAAGCATATCTTACTATGAAAGCAACTGAATTTTTAAGAGGTAGTTTTTCTCCATTATGCGCTTATTTATTTCAAATAAAACATAACCAAAAAAAACACCAACATCTGCTTTTCAACGAGGATCAAGTCTCAAAAATTGGTACAATATCTGACAAAGTTCAATATTTTATTTGCCCTCAGCAGTACTGGGCTGCTTTGGAACCAGTGTATTCCAGGTTGTCTTCGTAGTCAAAAGACTAATCTACCAACGGTACTGAACCCACCCCCTCCTCCTCCACCTGTGGGTCCACAACTTCCAGGGGGGTCGTTGTCATCAAATCCATTGGGTCGGAAAGAGCACGAGGCTGAAGCAGCTTGAAGTGCTTGTGTTCGAGCACTAAGCTCTTGCTCCTGAAAGGGAAGAATAAGGACAATTCAAAAAACAGAACCCCCTCCCGACCAATCAAGCCCTTGAAGCAGCTTATTTGTAGTAAATTTTGAAACAGCTTTTAAAACAATGTCATTAATTCCAGGACTCCTAAGTGTGAACAGCTTTGCTGAACTTCAAGTTGAACTTTCACAGCCAATCCAAGATGAACAATTTCCTTAAACATCAGTAATTGTAAGTGAAACATAATTAAATCCATTTAAGTTTATGCTAAAATCTTGTTCTATAGCAACATGGGATGTTAGTAAAAAATTTGACTGCAGAAGCTAACAAAACATGAGTTTTTGATACACTTCACTTGAGTTTTCATCCTCACAATTTTAAAATGCCCTTGTTCTTGGCTGCAAAACTGGAAGATAAAAACCACTAAATCAATGTTAATTAAAAGACATTTTTTTATTCACTCAATCAACTTCATAGACTAACAACCTATTCAGACAAAAGGCAAGGAGATGGACAAGCTATCTATTTTCTATTTGTTGCAGCTTTTTAGCTTTCAAGTATTATTGCTACACTAACTGCTATAACATTAGTAGGTCTTTGCAACTCTCAAGCACTTCATAAAAATCAGTCAGCTACTGGAAAATGTACCTGCATAAGTGGAAGGAACAAGAAAGCTCTGCCTCCTGCCAGCTGCTTTTCCAGCTAAATGCTCCTGAGGCTTCTTAAGACATCTAAGAAGGGTAGGTAAGCACAGGTTTCTCCCTCATTAGAGATATCATACCCTATTTTGTCTCTGGCCAACCAATTTAATAAACCTCACAGTAATTTCTTCTCTTTAGTACCCCATTCTCAAATCGGCCAACAGTTTCAAAAATTGAAGGAGAGAAGGCAACTGTTGGGCTCTGAAAGACTCACAGGAAAAAGACTGTGGACCTGTACAAGTTTTACTCCTTTAGGAAACAAATAGACAGTATTCAGGCACTTAAGGCTCACACCAACATCTTCCTTCACGTGACACCTCATCACTACACATCTCCCCAAGGCAATGGCAGCAAACTTTAAACAGGATTTTAGTAATTATACAGGTCACCTTGAATTGTTCCTCATCTTCTCCACCTCCTGCTGAAAGAAAGGAACAGAGCCAAGAACCTGGAAGATTGACTGCACTGTCCCACCAGGAAAGCACTAAACCTACATCTTGTCCGATGTACAGATGCTAAAAATAGTCCTTGTGGGTTTAAATTACTTTGCCCTCTTCAAAAAATACAGCCTAAGTTTGAAACTATATGACACTACTACAGACTGAAATGCATACTCATTTCCAAAATTATGTAAGATATTGGAGGATACTGTCTACATTGGTAATATTCCTTAAAGGCAGTATTATGCTATCTCCAGCCATATGTGGATTTGTAGGTATCTGGCTAACTATATGACATATCAAAAACTAAGTAATTTTACAGGGAATAACAAGGAAATATGAAGAACTCACTTCTAGTATCAGAAATCAACCAAACATTTTGATTAAAATAGTAGACCTTGTATAAATAGTCTGTTAAGTTGGAAAAAAAAACCTAATGCCAAGCTGTTTAGCTTAGAACAAAATTTCTTCTCAAAAGCAAACAGTGAGAAACTCACTACACTGTACCTGGGTTGGTTTTTATTTTTGGTAAAATATTTCAGAAAAATGTTAGTTTTAATGCAGCGCAGCACCAAACAAAAAAATACAGTTTTCCATCCTGCCTCCTTTACTTTCATCCCTCCAGAGAACCATTTTCTGGCAACTTTATGCCTCTTAAACCCCAGTAGTTTAGTTTTCCCTAACAAACCAAACCATAAAAGAACATAAGCATCAACAACAGGTTTGCAGTTATATTAAATAAAAATCTTAAAATTACAGAAAAAAGAACACTACAGTATTACAGCTAAGATTTTTTTTTTTGACCAGGTTTAGGCAGAAACATAATTTATTTTTATGGTTTTCATGCAGTTACTGACTTATGTGCAAAGGTTGACTCCCGTAGCTCTGGAGATACCCATCACGTTTGGTACAGAGTCTAACTGAGCTGCAAGCACAGCTTGTGCCAACCACTTAGAAATGCTCTTCAGAAGCAACCATAGTGCACTGAGAATAGAACAAACCTCAGCTGCGATCTCAGCTTCATTGCTAAGTGCACAAAGGGTTTCCATAATGGATGGAAGGTATCTCTTTATATGCACACATACACACGAGAAACATGGAGCAGTGATCAAATCAAACTATTAAAGTTTTTTGGCAAGTACTAGTATTTAAAAACCACACACTATTTGTGTATTCAATGCTAAAAGTGAATTATTTAGCAGTTAGAGATCTTCCATGCATTATTCCTGCTCAGCAGTTTGTGATAAATGAGCATTTTTCTTTCATCTCTTGAGGCATATATTGACTTAATTAATATTAACCTACAATAAATTGTTCTAATATAGCACACAGCACTGAAATTTTTACAAACAATAATCTTGTTTCTAAAAAAAAACCCCAAATGTTGCATGTTTTCATTATGATTATATTAATGTCAACAAACACTAAATCAGGTAAATAAAACTGGATAGTCAATGCAGTTCTCTGGACTGAGAATAAAAAAGAACATTCCCCCCTTACTTTCCACTTGTTCCCAGAATGGGTTTTTTAATTTGTTTTAAATGGAGTGGGGGCTACCCACATTACATGTTTAGTTATTTAAAGTGAAAACATCTTAGTTTACCATGTGGTAAACTCATATGTAACAGCAAAACAAAAGCAGTAAGGTAGAAAATTTTTTTAACTTTTTTCAAAAAAAAAAAAAAAAGGCTTTCTCAAGGAGAGAAAAGTAGATTCTTAACTTAGTAGCAAATTACTAGTTTAGAACTTTGAACCAAAAGAAAAATGTAAGGCTTCAGAATTACCATAATCTAATTCAGTGAATCACAGTATTCACATTAACTTGAGAAAAAAGGTAACTGAGCACTTCTAATGAGCCTCAATTCAAAGGAGAAAGGGACAGGAGCTCAGCGACTATGAGATTACTAAAACACTACAAAGAAAGCCAATACTGAAGAATACAAAATTGGAAGGTGGGTGAAATATAAATTAAAAACAGATGAACGCCCCTAAAACCCAAACAAAACAATATATTTGGAAAACATTTCTCATTTTGAGATTAAAATTAAAAGAGGAAAAAAATACAAATAGGATAAGGAGTAATAGTTTGAAACTAAAAGAGGGTAGTTAGACTAGATGTGAGGAATACATTCTTTACAGTGAGGGTGGTGAAGCACTACAACAGGTAGTTCAGAGAGCTGGTAGATGACTCATCCTGGGAAACATTCAAGGCCAGGCAGGATGGGGCTTTGAGTAATCTGGTCTAGTTGAAGACCATCTTTACTCCTAGCAGGGGGGCTGGACTAGATGATCTTTAAAGGTCCCTTCCAATTCAAACTACGCTGTGATTCCACAATCGGAGACTGCTGCTACAGAGGCCAAGAGAAAGTCAAGAAGAGATGTGGCACATAAGCAAAGACAGTCAGGGCACAAATGTTTTAACCACACGGTTTGCAAATGGCAGCAGAGTTAAAATTTTAACTCTTAGTTCTCCTGTTCACATTTGCAAAATACCAGCAAACAAAAAGGAGACTACAGCTAGGGGAAGCTGTGGGATCACAGGCAATGGACAGCTGGCAGTGCTGGTCCCACAGAGAGATACAGAATAGGCAGCAAAGGGAAAATGCAATCTAGTCACCAGCATTCATTCAGTTGTTCCAGAATTTGGGTAGGCACAGTTGTGTAAGCAAACTTCACTACAAATGAAAATGCACTATTAAGAACACCACTTAGAAGTTTTTTAAGTATAAAGGCAATGAAAGTTTGAACCGTTTGAAGCCTCTCCTGTATGGAATGAATGACCTATAGGAGCACCTCCACTAAAAATTTAAACTGAAATGAGTTTATGCCATTTTCCTTGACACTTCCATCTAATAGTGATTATCTTACCATGGAACCTGTCCAGCAACATCATGATGGAAGCCAGGCTGGTGATTTATAAGGTTAATATACCAGAATACTTAAAATCTAACTTGTTGATTCTTTTAGACTGCCTGTTGTGAGGCTTAAGACCACCCCTCACACAAAATTTCCATCTTACCTGCAAGTACAGTTTGTTATCTTTTGTAATTGCATCCATGAGGTCCTTTTGTAGAGGAGGGTCTCCATTTACCCAGAGTCCATTTGCCGGATTGCTGCTGAAGCCACAGGTGCTATTTTGCTTTTTGTAAAACAGAACATAAGCAGTGTCCTTTGGAAATCTACTGGTGATTTTCTGGACTGACTGAAATGAGGTAAATGTCACTCTGCTGTCATTGAACAGAAACCATTCTCTTGGCATCTCAGTGTCCAGCTCATTTTCTACGACAGTACAAGGACTCTCCTCTGTCAACAACTTATCCTGAGGAGAAACTAAAGAAAGAGCTGTAGACTGGTGGCAGAGCCCTGAAGGCCCTGACCCAGAAACATTTCTAGCATAGGAATAGTAATGTCCACTTTCAGAGGATACACCAGAGTGCACTACCACAGAACTTAGCACGTAGGGCACCAGTTGTGGGCAGGTCACTTCATCAGCACCTGAGGGCTTCAGTTTTTTAGCAAGATTTTCTCCAGTATCAGAAATCTCCACACCAACAGACCAACCTCCTGAAACTACTGCTAAAGGGGATGTTATGCTTTTGACTGGCAGTTCCAAAACAAGTGGTAGAGACACATTGTCCAAGATTTTACGCCTTATATGACACTTTGGATCATATGAAAATCTCAAAAGAGTGAGAATGAGGTATTCAGGTTCCTCAATGATTTGCATAGTTTTCTCAGCATTCTGTAGAGAGGCACACTTTTCACAATAATACTTATTGTCTCCACTAAGGATCTCAGGTGCCAGAAAATAATTGAGTAAGTCTGTAACCGACAGGGTGCTTTTACCTACAAGAGTCTGAGACATATCCCTATTAGTCTGAACTTGTTTGAGTTCAGAAATTGTGGTGTTCTCAGAGTTTGGCTCAGTAGAAAAATCTTCTATGGTTCCTTCATTCATTATCGTGTCACATCTGCTATTTACATCCAAATTATTGAGAGGTGTTTCTGCAGCAGGACTAGTTGCTAAAGTATTAGTTTGCACCACGTAGTCGTCTTTCACTTCAGAATGTTCCATACATTTTGGGCCATTCTCCAAGGAAGTTGGAGGACAGAAAGCCAGAGAGAGATCTGTGAAAGCCTCTTCCTTTTGAGACATACTCTTGCAGTTCAAACAGCATATGGTGGTCTTCAATTTTCCTCCAAACATCTTCTCTATCAGAGTTCTTTCTTCACTTCCCATACAAGGTGCTTCAGCAAATACTTGTGTTTTGTGGACAGTTTCTTGTGCCTGGGACTCTTCATTCATTATACTTTCAGAACTCTTTGCTGAAGACAATGCTTTCAAAGTTCTCTCTTCTTCATGCAGTCTGAACACAAAGAAAAATAAATCTAAGTAACTGGGCTATTTTCCAAACAAATATTGTTCCACTATTTCAGACTTTTTTCCCCAGTTTTGCTAAAAATTATAGATGGTTAAGTGGCTAGAAGTGTCTTATAATGAAAAAGCTGTTAGTTATTTTTTATAAAAGCAAGCTGAACCACAGAGGCCTGTGCTATCTGAGAGTATGAGAGGCACAAATGCATTTAGTGTGGGTCTTATTATATATAACAGAATACAATGGATATATTGAAAGAACTGGCAAGTCTTAAAAAAACCTAACAATGTTTTTATTATTTACCATTACATTATCTTAATAAATCAGCTCTCCAGTTGACTGGTTCTGTATGTCAGATTTTGTAAGAGAATAAGTAGCTATTCATCTTCTGCCAGACTATTTCCAAAGAAAAGGTCAACATTCTGCAGCCAGGAAAGTTAAGAAACTACAGCAAGAAAAAACAAACCAAAAATGAAACCCAAAATGGGAAAAAAAATAAAAAGAACACTATTTCACTATTGAGATAAACTTCTTCAGAAGTGTAATCTGTCATAAAGCAGTAATGCTTAAGCCACATCTCAGCAAGTCAATATTAAAGAGGGCTACTAATAAATTTAGGTATTTTTGTTTTATCTCTGCCACAAGTTATTTGCTTGCTTATTAACTGGTTATAAATGCATGTACATCTCTGTGACTTCTGGGACCCTGTATGAAATAGAGCTGTTTCCACCAACATGAAATTCTGGGAGTACAATTAAACTGCTTTCAGCAGCCAGAGAAATTTTACAACAGGACCACGACTCTAAACATAATACCCATGTTTACATTTGTAAAAGTGGGACATTGTTACCACTATAACCTGTTTTCAATTATGTGGATACTAGATGGCATCCAGACTTTACCACAGATTAAGTCCATGAAGAAAAGCGGTTCATGGACCATACAGAAAACCAGAGAAAGACAGGAATGAAGCTGCAAATTCCTGATCCCCACTCAAGCAGTGGAACTGTTACACAACTGCTCCTAAGAGTTCAATACTGTGTGGTAAGACTGTACATTCATTCCCATTAATGGCACAGTACCCATACCTGTCTAGCAGGAATCTGAGGTATTCTGAGCAATCCTGCTGGGATCGAGGGGTGAACCATGGTGGCCTGGAAGCTTCAAAGAAAATTCTAGGAGCATATGCCTCCCTCTGTTCATGTAAGAGAAGCACAGGCAAGGTCAGATAAGAACTTGAAAAATTGGTTGTATTATTTTAATACTGACCACTGAACTTTGGACTACACTATTCTAGAGTAACTGAATGAAACACATGATACACAAACATTTAAGAAACTTAATTATATAAAGGGAGAGTCATTAATTTTGCAGGAATCACCTCTAGTACAAAGACAAAAACAATTGATCCTGTAGGCAAATATGAAACGTGTAGTAGTGTAAACCAGATTATTATGTATAATAGCAGCTACTGTTCTTGCTGATGAGTTAAAAAAACCTGTTTTCTTTCTTTAGAACACCAGAATTTCATAAGTACTAATTTATTTTTAAACTGATCCAGCCTCACCCCCTTCTTAGGTTCATTGCTATTATTCAAAGTGAACAGAAGCGTCTTATGTCTTTCTAGTATTAACAGAATGTTCTGAGCATTTAATGAAGTTCACTTTGGAATTCTAACTACAATAAAATTTGGTGTAAAAACCACTGCAGGAAGTCACAGTTTGTCCTATAAAGTTACATAAAGTCAGCTTGTATATTAAGTCAGGTCTTATTTGGATTTTCTCATTTTGGCTTATCAAAGAAAAGGTGTTACTGCCCACTTATAAAAACAACAAAATGCCACTTATGAAATACACCTCTCTAAGTCTATCCACACCATCTGAACATTTGGAGACAGACTTATTCCCATAGAAACCTATAATATTTATATTTAATATACTCAAGAGGACTCCCATGGCATCATGTTTGTTACCATTTTGGTATACAGATGGAGGCTTAAAAACAGTAGATGAAATAAACTGATGTACCTGTGTATGGGCCAAAAATGCAAAAAGATGCTGTAATTTTCTCATTAGTGAATTACAGCCATTTAGATTCAGAGATAAAACATGTCTTCTGAAACTGAAATGAAAGAGAGAGGCATTAGTTTCCTTGCTAGATTTCTAACAATGCAGTTATCATTCCAGCTCAGATGATTATTTTAAATTGAAAGACCACAAAATAATAATACTTCCCTTTAATACCTGGACTCTGCTCTAGTGCAGATGCAAAACTACTGTGCAGTAAGAACTAACACTGCAGAACACCTGTTCCTTTAAACATTTAGATATGTAAGAATGGACTATAGACAGACAACATTTTTTCAGTATCTTCCAGATTATCACAAAAGCATCACCATAAACTTTTACAATACCAAAGTGAGCAAGGACACTGAGGAAAAAAGGACTTGTCTTTTGACGCTGGACAGAAGGATCAGGACTTGTAATGGCTAAAATTGCAGTTTCACAGAGCTGGACTTTTACAAAGCTGAGTGCAAAGAAACCCACTCAGCTCTAGCAAGCTGAGAGACCCCAGCTGTGAAAATTAGGAATACAATAACTGCAAGACTTAATTTGCAATGTAGAGCTGTTAAGAACAACTTACTCTGTAGCCATAAAAAGTGCCTGAATAACACTGTTCATGTAGCAAGTATTTCCTAAATTTATTAGACCTGTCTTCCCAGTTTCAGATTTTCCAGAAAGTCTAGATAAACAAGATGGCAAAGAACTGGATTGAGAAGTCCAAGCACTCTGACTGAGAATCATCTTAATCTTCTCTTCACTGGGTTTGGGCATATCCTAAAGAGAAACATTTAACACACTTCTTAGGTTTTTGTATTTGATTTTATAATAGCTCCTGCCATTCAGCAGTATTGTATCTTCCCTTGCTCCCCCATTCTCCTTCAAGGCCTTGCTATCCCTGGTAGCCTAAGAGATACAACACCCACCCCCCTTCCCTGCCCCAAGCCCTCTCCTTCCAAGCTTTCTTTATTCAACTCTCAAATTGCAGGAATAAGGGGTATTTGGAGTTAAACTGATAGGAGTTTTTAAGTGTCAAAACATTTAACTGCAATACCAGTGATGTAAAATAAGGCAGTAATACTCCAGTGTTCTTTGCGGTTTTTGATTGTTAGGTTTGGTTTTGGTGGTTTTTATTTTTTATTTCTTTTCAATTTTATTTGTTTAGGAGTGTTGGGTTTAGAGCGTTTGGACTTTTTTTTAAATTTTTTTGAAACAGCACAGGCCAGCATCCCTTACCCACATAGGCCTGCAATATCCACTGCAATATCAATGGTGTTTGGGAGCTAGCAAAAGGTCACCACCATCCCAAGTACTTCTTTTTAATACATCAGTGCTCTTAACTTATATTTGAAGCTACAGATTCTAGCTTGAGTTGAAATGAAACGCCTAGAATAAACTTCAGAAAAGTATATTAGTTGTTACATAAGGCTTTAGAAATTAGTTTGTACTTTCAATAAAGGATCTCATGTCAGGCTTTTTTTTAAAGCCTGCTATAATCCTATCACAGACACTCAGGCAAATTTTTCTACCGTATTACAAGCACAATAAGAATTGACATGAGATTATATGGTTAGCTCTTGTCTCCAGGTGGAAGTGCTAAAGAATTTAGGTAAGTGAAATTATAGCTTTGTACTTGGAAAAACAAAGCAAAAACATTGCACCCTCTCAACATTCCTAACGTACCTTAATAGCTTCCAGAATGGGTTCATAGAGTTCTGGAAATCCTGAATAATGATACATCATACAGTGTATCAACTCAGACAACTGCATCAGAAAGGCTCTACTGGAAGGCAAGCCATCCCTTTTGAAGGAGTGAACCAAACTGACCACATGTGGGACAATCTGAACGGGGAAACAAAGAAACAAAAAGAAAGGTGTTATTTGCATTTTCCTATTTTTCTTTCCTTCTACAAACAACTTCATTGTTTTATATATGCCAAATGACAGGGCACCTTTTGTTATTAAATAAGAAGGGGTTGAGAAACAATGATTTGAAAAACATGCGTTATTCTTTACTCATGACAATTTTCAAGCAGCACAATTAATTATTCAATGCTCTCTTTAGCTCCCATAGCAAGTTTTGGAACTTTATGAACTTAAAAGGTACATGCTAAGATTTTAAGTCGTCAAGTGTCCAAAGTATTCGTCCTTTTAAGGATATCGACTGCCAACATTTTGCTTGTGTGCCACCACTAGCAGTTTAGTATCCTGTTCTAATTTCACAGATACAGTTTTTAAAACAAACCTCTTAATTTTCCTTAAACAGAATCTAATGCTTGGGATCACAAGGCAATGACTACATTCCTGCTATTCCAGCTCGCAAGAGGGAAACTGGCTCACAGCTCCACCTAGCGAGGGAGCTCAGCTCCACAAACCACCTAATGTAAACCACATGATTTACTATCAACTCAAAAAGTTTATCACAGCTGTGGTCATCTATTTGTGCATTAGTTCTGAGTCATTACTATTTTAAATTGGGTATAAATCAGAAGTGTTTACTCCATCTCCTTCCCCTTCTTCAGCGCAGCTCTTTATTCTTAAGTGCATGAGACTTATTTTATATAGTCTTCATTTACTTAATTAATCTTAATTTATTTCTAAGCAATTCTCAATGAGTAGGGACTTCTCACTGTGAACCAAAATATTTCAGACACCTTTGTCAGTTTCCAAGTGATCAAAATTGATTAACTTTGAAAGAAGTTGATGGAATAATTACTCATCACTAATTACTACTTAACAATTTATAAGGTAAAGACATGAAATATAGAACAGAAATTATAAGAATATTGTAATTTTAGGAAAGTATACCAATTACAAGAATTAATACTTCAAAACACCAAAGTGAAAGGGAACAGGTGCAAAACACTAATTTGCCACTTTTTCAAATACTGTTTTTCCTCTGAGTATAAAAAATATTTTTACAACTCTGTGAAACAAACCCTACTCTTTTCAGGTAAGGAAAATATCCACTTCTTAAAAGAAAAACACCAAGAGGAAGTGTTCAATTACTACAGAGTCAACAGTGAAAGTTGCAAAGCAAACATTCCCTCTTTCAGTTTATAAAATCCAACTAATTTATGCTAATGATGCTCAAGTATAAAGATAGGGAAATTTTATTTCAGATGCACTGCCAAATAAATTATATTTATCAAATGTGTATTCAACCATTTTACAGTCAGACCATTTGTTATAAAAAAGCAAACAAGTAGTTTAGGTGGAGGAAAATATTATAGAATACTAAATGATAGCAGTAGCTCAAAAAATGATAGTGAAGATAGTTTAAAACGCAGCAAGAACAGTCAAGAAATTCTGAAGAGAGATGTTTATGCAGTACTGCATGCAGTCTACAGTAGAAATTTTCTTTGTTAAATCAAATTCCTATTTCTAGAATAAGCTCTCTCATATTTTACATTTTTCTTCGTGTTTTGTCTCTCTCAGGAACAAAGAAGAGAAGTAACACAGCCAGTATATGAAATATTTATATGTTTTGAGCATACTCAAGGCTACTTGGCTCCTTCATTTGTGACTCAGATTTTTATCCTAGGCCAAAATTAGGGTGGTGGAGGGAGGAGAGAGAAACTGCAGACACCTATCATTAAAAAACAGTGTAAGAGCCATAAGGCAATTACTGTGAAATTAAACAAAGAGTTCGATATCCCTTCAGAGCCTTGCAGACAGCAGTGTGCCAGGCTGTTACTATTAAATCTCAGATATATTTCACTTAAAGTTTAACCTGAAAACTGAGTATGGGAACATCTTGCTGTATTAATACAGTCACTGTGATACCCTCTTATCTCTGGCCTTAACTAGCGAACTGCATTTTGAAGAGGGGCCATTAAAAATAGTCTCCTTCAGTTTTTCTACATGTACACTGAAACACAGATAGCACAGCTTTCTGGAGGTCAAGTATTTCCTGGTCTCAGGAACCTTTTGAGAGTGACTAGGCTACTTAGAGAAGATAACTGGTTATCTGTTTTCCCCAGACAGTTGTGCTTGAAAAATCTACTTGCAGCCCAACTTTATCAGCTAATTTCACACCACATAAAATGGATTACCAGCAGCACACAAACTGTGGTGCCCATATACTACTGCCAGATATATGTATGTACAAGGAAGAACAATGCTTGTTTCCAGTTATGAATGGGATGAATATGGAAGCTAAAAAGCCTAGTGGTCTGTGACCACAGGAACCTGATTCTAGCACCTTCAACAAAGACAAAACCCACGTGCACCAATTCTATTACTCTTTTTGTTACACTTTAGAAAACCCACGAGTGACATTTCAAAGGATGGAAACCCATTTATTTAGTAACTTACCAAATGAAAAGCTTCTGGAGAATGCTGAAAACTAAGTAACATGTGCGAAAGGACAGCAAGGGCACCAGGCCTCACTAGAGGAAACCAAAGTCGATTAAAGACCTAAAAAAAATCACACATTTATTTCAGCAAATCTGAAAAGTAAAATTTCAGTAAACATGTAAGCAGATCTGCAAACACATAACCATTTGAAAGAGACAACCATTATGTGCAACTGAAAGCCATAGATACATTTACATGATATTTGCAGAATAACAAGATGCTTCTTATACAGAAGATGTGAAGCAATTGCATAGCTGTTACAAATTCCTTTCCCTCTGCTTCAGTTTTGAATGCGCTTTTCCAACATACCAATTCGATCTTAAGCAGAGTGACATCAATGAGGATGGTAAATTTCTGGACTGCAGCCAATCCTTTCAGCAGTGCAATCACCCATGTTTCCACATGCTGAGCCAGAGGCCAGGATAACCAGTCAATCATTCTGAAAGACAAATCAAGACCAAAAAAAAATAAAAATACCAATATGTCACTAACTTTAATCTCCACAAAAAAGGCTATATATATTACACACTTACACAGAGACTCACAAGTTAGGCAAGTAGTAAAATAACTTCAATTATACCTCAGGCCATTTAACTTTGAAATTAATAATGATCTATTTAACACATTAGAAGTAAATAGACAACCCCCCAAATACATAAGCATATAAAATTAATTATTATGTATTGTTACTTGTTATTCAAGAATATGAACCATGATTGCATAGACATTAAGCTAACATCTGGCAAAAACTTACTGTTGAAGGTAAAAAAACGTGCCTGTACCTGAGAACCTTTCCTCTGACACCTTTTAACCCAAAGCAGACCAAACCAAACTATTAAGGAAGCTTCCCTAACTTAGAACTACATTCTTGGAGGCTAACTTAAATACTCTCAATTAAAATGGTAAAATCTAGTAATTCTAAGACACAGACAATACTGCAAGGTAGTGCCAGCTAAAATATGAAATTTAGGCTTTGTTCTTTTAAGATTTACTTAATATTTTGGATTTTTTTCAATTGTCCACAAGCTCTCCTTCTCCAAACCAGATGAGGCAGCAGTAATTAAGTGGAAGGAAAAACTTTTTACCATGAGGGTGGTCAGGTATTGAGAGCAGTGACTGAGGCAGAGCTGCCTCTACCCTTGCAGAAAGCTCTTAACTGGGATGGACAAGGACCTGAGCAACATCTGACTTTAAACCTGGCCCTTCTCAGAGCAGGACTGGACCAGATGACTTGGAAAGGCTCCACTCAACCCCCAGAACACTAAAATTCTATTCCATAATTCAGTGAAAACAGGAAGCTGAAACTGTATTACTTGACTACTTTTTTCTGAAGAAGTTCCTCATAAAGACTGATTATTTTAAGAGACTAAATTATAGCACAGAACAGAATGGGTTGCAAGTAACCGGTCTAATAAACAGTCACTATTACTACACAAGGGCAGAGTTAGTCATTACCAATCTGAAGCAAAACTATCAGCCCCTGTGCTCTCTCTGGAGATTAAGAGTTCCAAACAGACCAAAATCAGGGTTTCAGTCCTCAGATGCCAAATTAAAAAGACAATCATGGTCTTTAGCAACACCAGACATGTATTCTGGACATGCTGTATTACCAGAAACACCCGAAATTTACACTGAGTTTATAATTAGGATCTGAAAAATGTATAGTACTATCTGCATATATAACATTAAAAGGTTTCTCTAATATAAGGCATCTTTAGAATTGCCTTTTTAACAAGGTAGCACAGATCTCAACAAGTTTCTTCCATTTTACTACAAAGAAAAAAATTGTGAAAAAATATGGCAACATCATAACCACTGCTCTGAATTTACACAAAGCTCTCATTTCCTCAAGATGTTAAATTCAAACGTTTATTCTAAGCACCCTTTCCATATACTTTCTAAAATGAAGAATCAAAAAATGCAGGCCAAAACTGCTTTTGCCTGCTAAGAGAGAATCTTTACCTAAAAACAGGCCCCAAAACTCATAGTTCTAAAGTCTTCAAATCTTCCCCTCCCCAGTTTGTAGGTTTGATATTTTTCAGCAGTGGTAAAACACCTGCACAGCTAATTTAAGCCTAATGACAATATATTTGGATTTCTTAATTAGCTTTTTACACAAGTAAAGAGTATCTGAGTATTATGTGTACTCTCAACCACACTGACTCACAAACTCCAAGTGAAAACACTGCTTTTGAGTGGGAGCTGGGGCTCCTCTAGTTCCATGTTCTGGCTACAGGATGGGCCATGCAGTGTCATCTCTAGTCAGTATAAGTAACTACTTAACTATTCATCATTGTTACTAATAGGACAACTGCTGTTGTTTGAGTATGATGAACCTTGTAAAGAGGAGCCTCATTCTCTCTCTAATTGATACAGACAGAATACTTAAAATCCGTTTTTGCTCTTAAAGCAAGAGTTAATGCTTTTAGGAGCAGAAACACAAGCCAGAAGAGGAAACAGAAGTAACTTGTAGACACGCTTGAGACTGTCCCAAAAAGCATCAAATCTCAGATCTGATAGGCAAAGATTACGTATTTTAGTTACTAAATTCTCTCTGCATTGCATTCAGTTGGCTCCTGCTCTGTTGCAACCAATGACTGCATTTTTAATACAAAGGCAGATAATCATGAGCATGTCTGTTATCCATGTATATGCCTAATAAGGACAGCATTTTTGATATCTCTAAACCACCCCCCAAACAAATCTAATAATCTTTTCATTGGAAACTATTTACTACTCTGTGTTCAACTTTAGACAGACTCTGCAGTGTCATGGAAGTTCTAGTTAAGAAGTGAGCAACAAGGTCTCTAATTCGCAGTCACCAATGCTCTTCTGCCTCTCATCAGGAGACCTTGTTGTGCCTGGAGTTCTGCACCTCCTGGGAATGCTGCATGCCTGATGACAGCATGGTCATTTGGTGCTCCAGACATTCCAGTTGCATTAACCTCTTTACAACTGCTCCACTAAGGCAGAGGAGAGTAAACATTGCAAAGGGCTGCCAGAGGTAGAAAAAGAAACTGGATACAGTGTTGACATGAGTATCCACAAACAAAAATAACAAGGAGTATCTAAGAAGTTCCATTGAGTATTACTTCAAAGAACGGACAGGGCAAGTAAGATTACATTGCCCCTCCAAAAACAAGAAGGAAAACCCCCACCATATGGCAAGCACTAAAAAAAAAGAGCACTAATTTGATAATAACAGCTCCTATTGTAAGCAAAGCTCAGCACTGCATTACTTCCCTAAGCAGAGGCACGCAGGGGAGCCATTCTAAAGCTAAAATTACATGATCACACTGTGTTGATGCAGTAATACAATATAAACCTTAAAATTACACTAACATGAAAATTAATCTCCAGCATATTAGTCTCAAATTATTAGCATGCACAAATCCTTCTGAATTTCCCAGCTCTGACTTTTAGACTGGGCACACAGCTTTGGTAAAGTTTTTTAGCCAAGTAAATTCTTTTAAAGTCCCTAAACAATATGTCTTACCCCAAATTATACTACTATTGCTGCTTCTTTTCATTATGTTTTCAACTGAAACAGAGCTTCTTAATTTAATGTAAATACGAGGAATGTTTTCAGTGTGAAAAAAACCTCACTATTTCACCTAAATAGACAAGTGTTACATTACATGAATGTCTCGGTATTACACCACACAAATGAACATACTTAAAAATAACATTGCAGACATTAAACTCTTAGTTGAAAGTAATTTCTTAAAAGTTGTTTTTTCAAATAAAAAATTCTAACAGCCTCCTTTTTAACTGCTTTGCTCATTCTTCTACCCCTCAGTACTCAGTAATTTCAATAGGCTTTAAAAAATAATTTAAAGAACTTCAAGGTCATCTTTCTCCCCCTGCCATCTTTCTGCATCACTATTATTCACATATCTGAAGATACTAAGATATCAAGACTGCAATCTGAGTTGCAGTCTGTTAGCACTGCTTCTAATGATCATGCATACTCAAGGTTAGATTAGTCATAAACATAATATGCAATTGCTTTTACATCATTCTTATTCCTCTGTCATTCAAAGAACAACCAAAAACCCTCTGAGGGTTTGAGTGAAGATGTAATGTTCTCTGTGAATCCCACTAAAAAATGGGGAAGATATCTAAGCAGAAAAACCCTCAAAACTAAGCAGTAAAACTAATTTCTAACTGTCTCCTCTCTTCAAAGAAGAGGATGAGTAAGGAGATGATGGATAAGACAATCACGTGAGACCACCCTGCTTCTTGGAAAAGCAGAAAGGTTCATGTTCTGAAAACATGGGCTTGTTTCTCCACTTGACTGTAAAGCCCATGAAGTTTCCTATTTATGCCATTTTCTGTATGGTGGGAAACCTACACGTCATCTAAAAGGAACACAGATGGCTTCCTCCTAGATTCTCTTTAACCCTCTTCTTCATCCACCCTAGTAAAGCATGAGAAGGAAGCCAGAATAACAATGAAGGCAGCAATCTTCAACTCAAACCATGCCAATAATATCCACGGCATCATAAATACATTACATGTCAAACAGCATGAATTGGAATATCATTTTAAAAGTTCATCTTTTTGTTTAGCTGGGGTTTTTTTAATGGAACCTAAGTGACAAATAACTTCAAAAAAAGGAAAGATTAAGAAAGAGACTCTTCTCTCCCTTTACAACAAAATACATTACCTGCACAGAGCTTGAGTCATACTTGCATCTTTCACATTTGGATCTGTGGTAAGGCTCCTGATGAGTACTGTAATCATCTGTAGTGGTATGTGCTGCACAAGACTTGCCAGTGCAACAGAAGGTTCGAAGGAAGTATCTGTAACAGTTGAACATGACATAATGTAAGAAACTAAAAAGAAAACCCCACAGAAAAAAAATAAGATTTATGATTTATCTTCTATCCAACAACTTCACTACAGTTGAAAAGTGAGAATGAATCTATCCTACATCTATCATCACAAACCAAACCAAAATTAAAACATTTCAATTAATTAAGGACAAGGAACAGCACTGAATTACAAACTCCTTCTGTTCACTTAATACACATGCAAGCAAGTGACAATCTGCCACCTTCTTCCTCAGCCCTAAATGGAACTGAGATGTGGGGTTTATGTTTTTGTTAAGAAAATAAAAAAAATTATCATATAGTTCCACTTGATGCTAAGCCTAGGGATTTAATGTAGCTGACATTTCCCATGTCCTGTCTTAGCAACTGTCTGCTAACCATACCAGTTATGGCAAAATATGATGTTAAGTTCCCCAGGTACCCCAGTGGTAAAGGCACTTTCCCATGGGAACCAATACAGTACTTTACAGATTTCTGAGGTCAGAGAGAGCCTATTTGCAATCACATTTCCATTACTCAGGTACTGAATGCTTCCTAAAATAGCCACGTTTCATATATTTCTTTCATACCCCCCAATTTGGTAAACAATTCCAAGACTTACTGTATCTCTCTTGAGGAAGCAAGGAGGAAGAGTAGCTTTTCACAGAATTGTTAGGGTTGAAAGGGATCTCTGGAGATAATCCAGCCCAATCTCCCTGCCAAGGCAGGGTCACCCAGAGCAGGTTACACAGGAACACATCCAGGTGGGTTTGGAATGTCTCCAGAGAGGGAACTCCCCGGCCTCCCTGGGCAGCCTGTTCCAGTGCTCTGCCACTCTCAATGTAAGTTACTCCTCATGCTGAGGTGAAACTTCTTGTGTTTCAGTTTATGGCCATTGCTCCTCATCCTGTCACTGGGCACCACGATTTTGGCACCCAATCTCGAGATATTTATATGCATTTTGCTACTGATAGTTTTAATACTAACAGGGCACCCAAAACTCCATTTTGGTACATCATTCAAAGCATTGCTGTGAGAGACTGGATTCGTATCTCACTGGGGCCAGCTGGGAGTCCTCATGGTCAGGGCCTGCATGCCAAAATGCCTATTTTCTCACTAAACTAAAAGAAATCTCTTGGGAAAAAGAAGTCTGTGGCTTTTTCTCTTTACATGACTTCAGGGTATTAAGAACCAAAGGCTCTGCAAAAGTTTGCTGAGAACTCTTAAGAGTCTTATATATATAAGTAAAACACCTGGGCAGCTTGGGCCCAAGAGTTTTTTCCAAACACCATGCTGCTCTGCAGCTAAATAAATCACTATTTCCCCTCCAGCTTTTGCGAGCGGAGAGGGAGATGCCTGGGCGAGAAAACAACGGTTCCAACGAGACGCCCTACAAAGCGACCACCTGCCAGGGCTTCTCCTTCCCGCTGGATAACCTCCGCCCCACGTTACCCGGCACGGCCCCCGCCTCCCCGCACCCCCCGCGCCCCCGCTCACCGGCGGCGGAGATGACGGCGAAGAGCTCCTGCAGGGAGGGCAGCAGCGTGTCGGGCTCTGCCTTCCAGACGCTCCGCAGCAGCGCGCTGACCTGCGTCACCTGCGACACGTAGAGGCGCAGCTCGGCCTCCCGGGTGCCCTGGCTCTGGAAGTGCGCGATGCTGCGCACCAGCTGCTGGCAGAAGGCGAGCGAGAGCTTCCTGCCGCGGGGCAGGCACTGCGGGAAGTCCCCCAGGAGCTGGCAGAGGCGGGCGCAGAGCGGCGGCGCCGGGCGCTCGCACACCAGGCGCAGCGCCTCCACCTGCAGCAGCTCGAAGAGCTCCAGCACCGAGGGGCAGCTCATGATGAGGCGCAGCCCCGCCTGGATGTAGTCGAGGATGGCGGGGTCGCGGTTGCTCAGCTCGCCGTAGCCGCGCTGCAGGAGGCCCAGGACGAGCCCGCGGTTGAAGAACGCCTCGAACTCGGCGCGGTGGAAGCGGCCGTAGGCGTCCAGCACCTGCCGGCCCACCTGGCGCTGGAAGGGGTCGGGGCCCTGCAGCACCAGCCGGGTGCCGAGCGCGAACATGGCGCGGCACTGCGCCTGGCTCAGCGGCGTCTCCGCCGACTCCACCACGCGCCGCACGATCACCCGCTTCAGCGGCAGCGGGTGCGACGAGCTCACCAGCCCCTCCAGGATCTTGTCCATGGCTCCGGGAGCATCGGCCGGGCGGCGGCGGCGGCGGCGGCGGCGGCAGCAGCAGAGGCGGCGGCGAGCGGCGGCCGCACCAGGCCTCGGCGGGGAAAAACGCTGCCGCCGCCGCCGCCTCCACACCGCGGCCCTCCCGCCGCCCCGCCGCGCAATGTCCGACGCCCCTCCCGCCGCTGCTGCTCTCCCCCGCCCCGACTTCCCGCGGCCCCGCCGCCGCTCCCGGCCCCGGTCCCGGCCGAGCGCTGTTCCACCCCCCCCTACCCCCGACCCCGGAAGCGGAGCGTGCGCGAGCGGGAAGCTCGCGCACGCGCCGGAGGTAACGCCCCGCCCCCTCCCCTGTCGTGAGGGGGATGAGGGAAGGGGGAAGACGCAGGGAGCCTTTCCCGTCTCCCCCGATCCCTCCCGTGCGGCGGGAGCCGCACGGGAGGGATCGGGGGAAGGAAAGGCTCGGGAGCCTCACCCCTCAAAGCCGGTGTGGCTGCTCCGCTGTCACCCGCTCCCCGCCCCCCCGCGGGACGCCGCTGTTAAGGCGTGCGGTGTTCCCATCCTTACCGGAGCCTGCTCATCTCTATTTTTGACCCAGTTTAGCGCCAGTTTTCAGCACTCAGATCTTGTTAATGTGTCTCGCGTTTTCATACCACTGAAAGGTTTCCAGCACGAAGGGATGTGGGGGGGGGTGGAGACCAAACCAACCCACAACACCAAAAATCCAAAGTCCCACAATTTCCAAGGGCTAAGTGTTAGCATGCAGTCACAGAATGCTTTGGCTCGGAAGGGTCCTGGAAAAGTCGTCTAGTTCCAATCTCCGCCTGCCACGGGGCAGGGATGTCATGCACTGGATCGGGCTGCTCAGGGCTCCATCCAGCTTGGCCACGTTACCTCTTGAGAACCAGGTGACGTGAAAAGTCACATATATTTGTATTAAAACGATAATCACCTGTGAACAAGCTGGAAACCAAACTCCGCTTCCTCACTCAAATAAAACCCTTTAGGCCAATTCACCGGTGACATAAGCTGGGTGTGCTGGCAAAGCCTTCCCCTTGGTTCTCTCTCGCTCAATCCAAACACTGTCGTGCTATGAGGTTGAGTAATACCTGTTATTCAGCATCAGGAGAGTAGGGAAAATGAGCCCAATTAATTTGAAGTAGAACAGGTGCAGAATCGTAGCTGGAGCTTAGCTTGACAAGAGATACTGTTAAGGGTAAGAAAAAAGACCCACAAGCACTACAGGGACAGCTGTAAGAATCTACAGCTGCCAAAAAAACCAAAACACGAAACCAAGAAGTTCAGAGTTAACTTGGAAATTGAGTCCACTGTTTATAAAATATTTAAATTGCCCAATTAAACTGCTCAGATAACTTGAACTTTTCCCCTCTGTCCTCTAGTTTTCTGTTTGCTCCTCACAGATGTAAAGTCTGGTTCTAGAAATCCCTGTGCAATTACTGAGTCGCTACAATCCAGTATAAATTGTGTTAATCAAGAGCTTTTTTACAAGAACTTAACAAAGGTCAGAGACTGTTACCACCAACATCTTAATTATCTAAATTGTGTTTGTATAGTACACTATACTGGAGTGATTTTTTTTTTTCAAAAGGACTTTGTCGTTAATAATATCCATAAAAAAATTAACCTTGAAGAAAGTGCTGAATTGAGTAGCTTGTATACCTGTGGACTTTAATGCTCTGCCATTTGTGATCCGTACTAGGAACGTTTTAATTTTCTCAAGTTCACAAGTACAAACTTTATTTTTATTTATTCATTTATTTATTTATTTTTCCAGGTATCTTCTGAAGCCAGAAGGGGAGAGGAGTCCTCTCAGGAGCCCACATAGAACTCTGAAAGTAGGAAGAACTGAAAGCAGGATACCAGCGACACATTTATGGAAGGGGGTAAAGTGAGACCTTAACTGGGCAGAGAATCGTGTGGACAGTGGAAGGAGAAAGAAAGTTTGGAGGTATGAGAAGCTGCAAATGTGCTCAGATATATTGGGGTTTATGAGAAAGAAAGTAGGGGAGGAGAAGTGAAGAAAGGCAGGTGGTATCGCAGGCTCATGGGGCATATGATGGAGTAGGAAAAACAGAGGGATATCGAGACAAGCAGTTGCCACAAATAGCAGAGGAGCAAATGTGAAAGAGCTGGAACAGTTATCTGAAAAGCTCGAGACATACGGATGGCTTGCAGGCACATGAAGATTTGGGGAATGCTGAAAGCACGAGCAGCTGCAGATTAGCAGGATCAGGGGCTCCTGTGAGCTGGGAGATCAAAGGTCTCAGCAGGGAGTCAGTGCTTTGCCCTTTGTTTACACAGCGCTGTGGATGGGAGGGCAGGCAGTGCCCACTGCTTGGAATAAGAGATCAGTCTTCCCAGCAGTCTGGGACCATTCTACTTGAGCCTGGTCACAGCAGTCACAGCGTAGATGAGGCAATTTCTACCAAAAAGCCACAGAAAGGTCTGAAAATCTACAGCCCTGATAAGAATTAAAATGGATAGATAGAACTGTGTAGTTGCAGGGAGGGTAACTCTAGCGTAGGAACTTGGGAGTAGTAATCTTGTTTGCAATCAAGTGTGCATACTCCTTATTTAATGAATGTATTTCAAGTAATAGAACTGGCACTGAAAAACAAGTGGTTCAGAGTTACAATGTTTGGTTGAGTCACTGAATGTGCCTGTGACCTCAGAGCTAAGAATAACCTGGACTGTGGGGATGATTCCAATCACAGTCTTACTATTAGATATGCAATTACCAATCTCTAATTACAAGCTAAATTTTGGAACGTTGACTGTTCCTCTGTTTACAGTGGAATCTAACTCCTATCTGTAAATATATCACTAAATTGTGACAAAATGAAAAATAAATTAATTCTTTAGTGAATAAAATATATCTTCAAATATTTTCTCGGAAAAAGTAAGAAAAAATCCCCCTCATGTTTCATCAAGAGCAAAAATTATTGTTAAATAATAATTGCTGTTACTGTGAAACAACACAAATAGCAGCAGAAGGTTAACCACGGCAGCATCTCCATAATAACTCAACAATCTTAAAGACAGTAAGGCAAAAAGGAAACTTTTTACTAAAAATTTAAGGATTAAAGATATCCTGTCAGCCTAGAGGCATTTTTGGCCTTAAGCACAAGAGGAATGCTTTCTAACAGAATGTTTTGTAGGTAAGGGGGCTGTCCTGAAGGCTGGTGAGGTTCTGAGTGCAACATCTGCCCATTCCTTGTGACACCCACATGAACCAGTTTAACGTGCTGGACTTCCTGCTGGTGCAGAGGTATCCACACTGGATGTACAGTGAGTTCGGTCTCCCTGAGTGGTAGGATCCCACACACCTGAAGGAGGTTCAGGGTGTCTTGGTGGTGAGCATTATGTGGCTTGGCTGTGTGGTTGCATCACTGCTAAATCTGGTGCAAGGCAGGCACCAGGAGGCCAGGGGAGATGAGGAGCTGCCTTCTCTTCTCAGTCACAGCTTGCTGTTAGAACAGTTCCACTGTAACATGAAACTGCACCGTGAGTCAGGAGCTCCTGAGCGCTGATCATGGCCTCGCTATCAACTCCTTGCGTGGCTGCAAACAGCTTATTTGACTGCAGGATGGTATCTGTTGAGTGTAAAGAGTAGTAGCCAGATACTTGAGAGCACTGTAAGGTTCAATTAGATAATGTTTGCTAGGTATTAATTAAGTGTTTTCATTTTGGAGTGTTGATTAAAAATGCCTGAACATTGAATCATCGTGTTCTAGTTGTACACTGTCACATGTCCCAAAGGTTTATTCATCTGATAAACAACAGGGCACAGGTTTATTTATCCAAAAATCAAGACAGCACAGTGTGTGGCCCCAGTGTCTTACTGAAACCTGTTATCATGATGCAATTATTTCTTTTTTAGGAGAGAAGCTTTCATTTGATGAAGCTGTTTTGCCTCCTGCAGATCCAATCTGCCATGATTCAGTTTTGCATATATAATATAAATATATTTGCCATGTCAAGGAGCAACCTCTGACTGAATGTGGCTTTATTACTAAATCTGTATTATTTTTTTCTCAGTTGTAACAGAAAGATGTTGCAGAGATTGCATTTGGTATTCAAGACCTGTACAGTAATTGCCTTGAAAGGGGGGAGCTTCAGACAGGTGACTATTAACAGATCTAGGTTGCTCCTCAGCATTTTTGTGGCAATAATCTGCCCCAGCATTAGGCTGAGACATTGAAAAGTTTAAGGAGAAACAGGCCTCAAAAGACCTCCAGTGGGGATTGTGGGGCCAGAAAGGTGATACCTTAAAAGGCAAGCATATCCACATGAGATAAATGGATAGACTGGATCTACCACTGAAAATTTCCAAGAGTAAGAAGCATCTCTGTGGCTCAGATTTATTTTGGCTGAAATACTGTGTCTAGACTCAGGCTTCTTTGCCAGATACCTCTGTCTTTTTCACTAAGTCCTCTGTCTCAGTTAGGGGTTCAGCTGGTCCACTGTGATGAGTGTGTTTTGTATTTCATCCTTTTACACCAGAGGATAACTGGCAAATCTTTGCATGACATCTTCCTCTCACATCTCCATTACATGCACTAAACAATTTGCTTGTTACCAAATCTACTATTCTCACTGATGTCTACCTCACTGCACACCCTAAAGAGAGGCAATATACTACCCGTAGCAAAACAATGGTGCTTAGATTGATATTTGAGCAATTGGAAATTTAGCCGTGCATTAGACTCTCCTTGGTTGTTCTTCACTTATCTCTTTGTGAAATTTAGAATTATATCAGTGAAATCCCACAGAGGTCAGGAAGATACCCAAGCATTCACAGTAACTACCCAGAGGCAGTGCATATGCCAACAGCTTAATGTTTCACCAGTGAGATGTGCATAACTTTTCTAAGCCCTGACAGTCTAAAAACTGAACTTTTGGTGGCTCCATATCTCTTCTTTTTATCTTGCATTGCACAAAATGTTCGTGGTAGATGTCCCAGATTTTAAAGTTGACATAAACTGCTTTATGTCTGGGATGTGTAAGGCTAGATGTT